ATTATTTGCCCTTTGATTAAATTACAGTTTTTATTAGGTTAAAAGAGAAAAAAAGAGAAAAGTATAAACCCAAAAAACTATGAAAAATATATGAAAAATATTCAAAAGAGAGGAAAAAAGAAAAGCACATACACACACACATAAAAAAATGTAATATTTGAGAGTCGGTGTGGCGATGATTAATACTGAGCAAGATAATAGTTGACAAGTGCTCTTTTATTCAATTTTTAAGTTGTTTTTTCACGTATAGATAAAGGAATATCATTCCAATACTAGCATCCTATGACTGTTGGACAGAATTTTCTTAAATTTATTCTAAAGCTACTGGAATTTAGGTGTTGCAGGGATGCACTTCTTGTGTCATAATTATGTTGCTCAGATACCGAGGCCAGCGTGAAATTAGACGGCTTTTTATCTACAAAGTGATCGTAAATCAGCTGGCAGGTATTTAGCTTAACAATGTCCGGCATTGTAATATAACAGATGAGATTGGAAATTTACTTCCGTTACAAAACGAGTCAAATATATAGCAAATGTCAGACGCACGTCACCTTTGACTGTAAGCAAATGTTATGCAGTTCACTATATTTGCTCCCCTTGCAAATATGGATAATCATATGCAAATGTGCAAATTTATGATACAGCCAAATATCTAGAAATTTATTGTTTTTGCTCTCAAGGCAAATATGAGTAAACTATATGCAGAAGCGCTCTTTTGGTATCCTGGAGAAACAAGAGCAAACACCACTGAATATTAGGGTTTTTTCAATATTTTTGACTGCATTTGAAGTACAGTGAAAACTGTCATCTTTGACAAGGATGTAAATTTGAGTAAATTGGTAAAAATGTTAAAGAAGCTTTAAAGATTTGCACATGCTGCAAATATGGAGAAAATGTGTATCAAAGCATTACATTCACTTGACTTTGCGTATCAATACCTATCCAGCAAATGTATGTATTTGCCCACACTTTAGCCGACAGCGCAAATGTAATGCAAATTTAGAGCTCTAAATGTACCACATATTTGCACCTTTCGCAAACATTAGTAAATCCGTTTTTTCGTCCAGTGATTGATGGTCTATAAAGCTTAGCTTTCTCTGGGAGGCTGCGGTCTTTCCTTTAACTTTTTTTTTTTTTAATGAAAAGACAAAGGTTGGATTTCAGTTGGGGTTTAAGAAAAAAAAAGATATAATTTCTTCTTAATTTGGTGGACCGCACTTTGAACAAGCGTCTTTTACCAATGCATAGAATAGGAGGTAATTAGCGTGTTTTAAGACGAGAAGACGACGTTGCATCGTTATAGAAAAATGTCAATTAATAATATATAGATTTAGCCAGGGCTAAAAGCGAAGCTCCCATTAATAAATTTATATATTAAATCAAACAATAAACTTGTAATCCACAAATCAGTTAACTTAAGGGCACATTCATGTGACGTTTGAGGGAAAGGATAAGTTATTTTAGAGTGAAACATCTTACATCGAGTTGATAGCCTAAATATATGTACACCCAAAAAATAGCAAACGTCTTCCATCACATTCAAGAGACATAATGGCTCTTGATCACAGTAGAGTAGGAATCGAAAACAAATTCTTGGAAAACAAATCAGGCCGCATTTTTTTGCGTTCGACAGGTTTACTGTACAAATTCTTGCCAACAAATCTGAGGGTGTGTAAACCAACCTTTTATACTTTTTATACAGGGTGTAAAGAAAAACATTTTTACAGCTTGCCATTCGGGCAAGCTGAAGCTAGCATTTACTAGCCCAGACGTCATTTCAACTAGCCCCAAAAACGTTTTGCTCTTTTGTTATTCAAACTCCTCATAAAACATCACTTGCCCGTCGGGCAAGTTAAAAACAGAATTCACTAGCCCGATAGCAAAATCCACTAGCCCCGGGCTATCGGACACTGCTTTCTTTGCACGCTGTGAAACAGTACTTTTTTATCATACAGACCTCGGACAGAATACGGTATTTGACAATTTTTCAATTAATGTTCAGGACGATCAATCGAGGGCTTTTAGCGAAACCGTTCAAAAAATTTCCAAAATCACCCATACAGCCAGCCGGTTCTCATTTTTAGTGCGAGCTGTCAGTGTGGTCGAGTGTTTGAATGAACTTTAATGGAGATACGCTTCAACATAATAACGAATTTATTATCATTATTTTTTGTTATTTAATGGTTCCAGTTATAACGATGTGTAATCTTATAAAGCGTTTGATACGCGCGACATTTCTAAGTACTCCTGCAAGCGATGTTCATGAACGATGAAAACAAACACCACGGACAAGCGATTAAAATTGCAAGAGAGACTACTAACAATCAATAAAAGAAATATAATTCGGTAAAACATTTACAGAGACAACAATTTTCATTCACGAAGACCAGTATTAAAGTGTCTCTAAAAATCCTGAGTCTTTAAGCTTAAAGCTTAAGCTTAAGTTTATTTTGTTTTACTTTCAGCCGGCCTCCCGGTGTTTGATTTTTTTTTCAAAGATGAACTCCTCGAAGCAAGAAAATCACTCAAAGGTTTCTTTCTACAGCCAAATTTGTAACTAAGTATTCTTCGGAACGTTTTTTTTTTTCTATTTGCCGTGAGAATATATATCTGAAGGCCTTTTAAAGTTCTGTAAGCTTATATCAAACCTGATACTAGATCAGATCATTGACTCAAATCTCAACAAACGTACAAAAACTTGCCGCGTAAACCTTGCTCGACTTCATGAAATTAGATATAACAAAAACAAACATCAAATACAATAATTACTCAGGCTTACCATTCGAGATTCAGTTCCTGAAACATATCAAGGAAGGCCATAGTTGCTTGAGACTTTTAAACCCTCTTACGCATTGAGCAAGGTGAAAGACGAAAACGATGCCATCCGAAATCGGATTACCCAATTTTGACAAGCGACGCATTTCTCAACCAAAAACCCAATAAACAAACCAGCCATGGATGACAGAAGACTCTTGATAGCAGCTGTATTTCATTTTGTACATCCAGTGGAAAAAGACAGTTAAAAACATCACAAGTTGACACAAAACTCTGTCAGCTTTAGCTGTCAAAGTAAACAACTTTCAAGATGCTGCATAAATTTTCCACATGAACTCACCTGTCAAATTTTGACCAATCAGATTACAAAAATTGGACGTAGAGCGTGACCAACGCGTGACCATGGTAAGAAAAGGTCTTCCCCCCCTTTATAATTAAAAAAAGTGGCTGAATTTTCGCGTCGGAGGTCAGTTTGAAATCAAAATCTTGACAGTGCAGGGCCATAGTGACATAAACATAACATATTTCATATGAATCATTGGAAAAAGTAGAGTTGAGCCTGCGATCATTTGAAACTGATAATTTGTCAGCGGATAACTTCAAAAAAGTACTCGACCTCGATGGGTCGACACTTGAGCCCGCGGTACGGTCAGGTGATACTGGTCAGCGGATATCCTGTTTTGACAGTTGTCAATTGATCACAACATTGATGTGCAATCAGTTTTCTATTGGGCTCCCAAACTAGCTAGAAAGTGTGAGAGTAAACATTGGTTTCCCTGTGATGCGGACGGACGGTCGGGCGTACGGTCACGTGATTACCAAATTTTCTCGGATGGGTAGATTACCACATTTCCTTAGCTATGGGGCTCCGACCACGCGCGCGCTTCGCGCGCGGGTGGAGCTCCGCTACAAATATCAATTTATACAGTTTGGGTCATTAACAAATAGAGGGGAAAGTTAAATGTTTATTTAACAATTATGCGTCAGCGTGCGTATGTCAAGATATCAGGCAAACGGGAAGTTTGGGGAGTGAGAGTTGCTCTAGTCGCAGACGGAATGGCAAAGTTTAAGCTAAGCACTAGTTAATACGGAATTGACTTTACACCGTCTGCGCCAATAATAGAGGCAAAAGTCAGTGAAAGTTAGCTTAGGGAGAAAGTGGAACTTAGCTCAGGGAAAAATAATTTCTCAGTTGTGTTTAGTAAATCAACTACGAACAGGTGTGCCACCATAAATGTTAATGGTCACGCAGATCATGACTATTGGGGGCCTTTTCTTGAAACGAGTATTCATCAATAGGTGTGTTAATTTGGCGTTGACGCAAATGCAAAAGTTTTGATATTGACATGTGACACTAATGTGGAAGTCTCTAATGTCTTATTCGGTTTATTCATATTTATTCATATTTTATTGGGAAAGAATCGATCATTGATACTTGATGGGTGTTTTTAATAAAACAATCATTCCACTCCCGCTTCCTGGATATGGGATAACGATACACGTATAGGCGAGTATCCAACGCGGGCTTTCGTGGAATAATTGTTGATTATTGTGCATTCAATTCAATGCAACATAAAATGGATCTATAATAATAGCATGATTATTGCCACAGTTATGGTCAGGAATAATATTTGCATTTTCTTTATTTTAGGTACCATCTGAGAGAGTTTGAAGAGGCTACGTCATTAGGATATTGCTGTTCTAGGTCAATTTCTTTGCTTAACTACAAGCAAATAACAGGACATAAACCCCGGCTTTAAAACAAATACTGAGGGGATAGGCTATGGGAGCCCTCAGGCAGAACAATCGTGAAGCGAAGTAGTTAAAAAGGAATAAAACGAGACCCAGATTGTTTACAATTGTATAAAAACCATTTAAGAATTTATTCAACATTTTGATATGGATCTAGCTACTGAATTTGGATTGACAATTGACAATTAGATTGAACTATTATAGCTTTACTTACATAATAATTGGTAGAATATAAAGGACAAAGAACCGCCAGAAGGTGTTTTCAAGCGAAAAGACCTGCCGAAGAACCAGTAAGCATGAACACAACAGCAATTGGATCAAGTTTCTCGAGCTGCTCCAGTCTGATAAATCCAGAAGCACTAAACGTTGGAGCAACAGTTGCTTATAGTTTAGTCCTTGTGGTCTCGCTGGTTGGAAATTTTCTCGTGGTATTAATTGTTTACAAAACACCAACTTTGAGAAAACCGATAAATATGTTGATCGCAAACATGGCCATGTCCGACCTGCTCTATCCAATATTCCTGTTCCCTGTTCGACTGACAGAGCGGTACGTTGGCTCGTGGTTTATTGGTGGTACCCTTGGTCAGGCCTTGTGCAAGATACACGTTTTTCTTGCTGATATTTCCATGTTAGTGTCTATTCAGAGCCTGTTCCTGATAACAGTGGATCGATTTGGAGCTGTTGTAGTTCTGCTCCGTTCCCCACTCATCCGTCGCAAGGTGTGTCCCTATTTGATTGTTGGTACATGGATACTCGCAGCAGCCTTTTTTTCGCCATATCTGTTTGCCTTCAAACTTGTCGAATACCCAGAAGAAATGTGGTGCGAGTTGCAGTGGGAGGAGGCCTTCGGAGAGAAAAGCTCACTTGCTATTTACGGCCCAGCAGTAGTCACGGTGTGCTTTTGTATCCCTCTTGTCCTCTTGGTGATACTTTACTCCATCATCCTGATCAAGCTTAAGCAACAAGCACACCCAGGTGAACAGTCAACAAATATCGAGAAACAGCGGACAAGAAGAGACAAAAAAGTGCTCAAGATGGCCATAGCTATCGTTTTAGTGTTTTTCATTTGTTTTATACCTTTTGTCATCGGTGTCGCAATATATTTTTATGCACCAGACTTCCGGTCTTCCTGTATTTTTCAGGTATACTATATTGTCTCCTTGTTTACGGGTTACGCAAACTGTGCTATCAACCCGATTATCTGCCTCATTCTTAGCAGCAACTATCGCCACGCTCTTAAGAGACTTGTGAGCTGCTCCGATGTAGTTCAAGAGTAACTGTTGAAAACTAAAAGCTAGGTCTGAGCAAGAGAGAATGAGCTAAGAGAGCGAATCCTTGTGCCCCATGATAATTTTTTAAATCTATTTAAAAGTTCGCGCGCGTGCTGCGTAGGTTATTTTTGTCTGTTGTTTCCGTGACCCGCGTGGTCTAATTTCACGTTAAGTTGACATGTTTCGCCGCCAAACATTTGACCGTTTGACAGCCATCATAGTAGTTAGCGCCAGGAGCCGATACTAATCGGCTCCTGTTGTTGACGTGTTTTTGATCAGCGTCTTCCGCTCATAATTTAGGAATGAATTTCATTTACAAAGGGATTGCAGTATTGGAGTCAAAATGTCACTTTGAGATTAAAGATTGAGATTTTCTAACGGCTGGTAGCCATTTAAAGTAGCGAATGTTGAATTCTGACACACGGTGAAAGCCAAAGGCAAAGGTTATCACGCCCGAAACACGAAACCTTTAATAGGTGGTTGGCTTCAATTGTTTAAGCAAATGTGCAAGGTATTTTTCCTCTTTTTCCAGGAATGTTTTTCTTTCAGAAACAGCTGTGCATTTACTGTTCAGAGTTATTCTTGAGAGTTTCAAACTGCATTACTTCTTCTTAACGCCTAATACTTGCAATGAACATTTCGCCCTGCGAACACAAATCAGGTCACATGCTTCAAGCTGTTAGACAATCGCTAATCTGGATGCCAGAGACTTTTTATGCGCGGTTTCCGGTTTCGGTCAATTCTTTATAGTGAGCGGTGTGCCCACACATGTCTAGTGCCCTCTCAAAATTCAAATGTTTGGCGGCCAAACATTCATGTTTGTGGTCTGAAGCAGTGGAATAGCAGACCAATCGAACGGATATTACGGATTATTTCATGTATTCCTGTTGAGGTCAAGCCAAGTTAGAATCGTCTTTTATTTTTTAGTACCGATTTATTAGTAATTAGAGACGTGTTAGTAAAAAGAGTTAATATCTAATCTATAAATTAAATGGTCTTGTAAAATAGGGAGAAAAACTTAGTTGTTGATTCTGCCGCAAAATGACTCCTGACCAGCTCTCTTCGATCCTAAGAATATTGATTGCTATGATGACCCTCTTACTGGCATTCTGATTCTGACTTCTGCACGACCAGTGAATGTCAAATTTATGCAACGCGGCAAAGACTTAGCGAACAAAATTCCATTTGTAGTTGACTTAGCTTTGCTCTAGCAATAATGACTTGTGTGTATTATTTTAACCCGACAAATTTGACCACTTTGATCACGTTATTTTATTTAATTGACTTTTCTTTTATTGGTAATAATTTATAGATTGCTCAATAATTTTGCCAAAGTTGTTATTCCACCAACTGCAGGTCCGACTCAATCGACAATTTGTTAAACCGGCTAAACAAGCATTTAGTTCAGTATCTAACTAAGGCGAACCTGCGCTTTTGAGGACAGCTTCATTGACTAATGGAGTGCCCCGTTACCCAAAGTTTCATGCCAGGTGAATTCTGATAGGGTAGACGAGTTTTTAGAGTTCCAAGAGAGTTTCAAGGGTGAATTCTACAGTAGTTGACTCTATTCATTGGAATGAAATAATAGCAAAAAGCATAATGTAAGAGCCACAAAAATGCGGTATAAACAGTGTAGGCCTTAATTACCTTCTGTGATCTAGAATATTGTAAACTTATAATATTTAAATGCGAAAAAAAGTAACCGTCTAACTCTGATCTGAAACGCTCACTTGCAAAGGTCGACCAACAGACAACATGAAAAGTAAGTTTACTAATTGAAGTTATTTTTCTCGGAGAGAAGATCGAAATATGTGTGGACGGGGGCCTTTTATTTGCAGCCAAATTTACATTGAGCTGATTGTTGGAAGGTTGTTTTTTTTGGAGGCACGGCCTCCTTTATCTTGAGTTGAAAACTTGTGGAACAAATAAAAAGTAAATTGTAACCTTTTCAAACGACAGGGATTCAAACCCTCTTTGTAAAGTACAAAATTCATATCTCTGCGCGCGTAGCAGTTCATTGATGTGTATTCAGTACCAATCCACAATTATAATTTGGCCGATCAGACACATACGATAGCTGCCGATCGGGAATACTTTTCTAGTCATTTTACTTCATCTTCGACAATAACTAAGCAATTCTGCCTGTCAAATGCATAGTAAGTTATGCTGCTTACTGCTCACGTAAAAATAAAACTTCAAAGACAATACTCCTGGTTAGTGGCTTTTACCAATTATAAAGTCCACGCGACTGTCACGGGACTAATCTCCCCAAATTTAAAGATATATGGAAAGTTAATGAAGATTCGATGATTATCCGATCAATAGGCTTTTACGGTTCTAGAACACTCTTAAGGAAGAAAGAGTTAATTAGAGAGAAGACAAACGGTCGGAGGTTAGCAAGAAGGAGGTCGCAACTGGGAAAGGTTTGGGGTTGCTAAGGAAACTGAGTTAGTCAGAGATAGAGAGAGGAAGTGAACTACAGCAGCAGCGAAGGCTTAACCTTAAAGATAAGTGAAATGGAAGAGAAGTAAGAATGGACAACCGCCCTGCGAGTAAGCAAAATAAACTTTGAAAATAAAACTGGTTGATTGTGGAGTTCCTCTCGTCTCGCCGGCCCCATCAATAAACGACACACAAAGATCGTGTATCACGACTAACGAAAACGCGAAAGACTTCTTCGTAAATGCTAAAAGCCGTGCCAGACCAGAAAGAATCTCTACTCGCAGGATATTTTAAACCCAAAATTTCCCACACAAAAGATAAGCGCATTGTAGCCCTTATTTTATTGTCTTACAAATTTTCAATAAGGTCGTATAAAACAATGGTGAACGAGAATATCATCTTTTAAAAAATCCATTAAGTAGTTTCAAAATTGTTTGCTCAATTTTTGGTTAATGTATGAGCCAAAATATAAACTTAAATTCGAACAACAGCATCTCACTAATGCTAATGAAATCCCTCTTTTTGAGATCGTTTAAAACTATCCCTTTGATTCTTTCAGGTTTCATTAGTTTTCATTGTGACCCATCTGGAACTCAATTCATTTTTCTAGCGGAGCGAGTTTATAATTTGTCGCGCGCGCAGCGCGCGGATCACGCGAGGATTGCAAGACAACTGCGATTTCGCTTTGGTCATAAATCTTTCTGTCGGTTTGGTATCCGCAGTTGCCTAGCAACAAGCCATAAACAAATTCTAAAGACGCCATTAAACATGACGTGATCGTCCATTTTGGGTTTCCAGGCAACACGGCCGGGAACTTGGGCTCATTTTATTCATCCTCTGTTTATTGTACGTTTGCGAATCGCAAAGTATTTCTGCGGCAAATAACAGCGGGCTGCCAACACAACAGTGCCCAATTGGACAAGTGGCCGGAAATCTTTGCCGTGGGAGTCTTAACCCCAAAAGAACGGTGACCTGAACTTCAGCTAGCCTGCGAAAGCATCCGCTTCTTCTCGCTCTTCGCCGCTGGGGATGTTTCGCGAAACGTTGCCAGCGGCGAAGAGCAAGGAGAAACGGATGCTTTCGCAGGCTAAACTTATTAATAAGCGAGAGCAAGGATAAAGGAGACCAGTCCGTTAATCGAGCGGCCTATATAAAGCCTGAGAGTGAATAAACACGGAGATTATGCGAAATGGTTTTGAAATACTCGTTTTGAGCCACTCTTACTCAAATGTATCTTTGAATTCATGATAAATACAGCTCTACAAGGTTCGAACAGTGTGAATGGCAGAGCAAAATACTTCAACACTTTTAATTTTGGTGTAGTGGTCGCATGGCCCAGTGGTCAGAGGCCGCACTTTTTGGCTGAAGGAACTGTTGGGGTGCAGGTTCAAATCCCCGGGTGGCTACTTCCGTTCTTTTTTTTCATCGTATTTTTACCTTTTGGCTTTCTCACTACTGACCATGTTAGCTTCGCAAGATTTTTGCGAAAACATATTTTTAGTTTAATTATATTGACAATATATATTGCTAAAAGGTTTCATAAAAGTAGGCGTCACTACAGACTAAAGCAACGTTTTTGATGTCACAGTATTAAACTCAGCGACGGTTGAGTGGTATCATTTTCAGTAACTTTTAAACAAAGCAGTAACTAAGTCGACTGTAGAAGGAGCAGATGACTTGTCCAGGTGCCCAATTCAAACGTATGACTTAACATGTTTAATTAAACCATGTTTTTAAACATGAAAAACGGACGCGAAAAACAGGAACACAGGTTTTTAATTACACAGGATGCAGTAATCAACCCGTTTTGTAATTTGCAATAAAGTTGCCATCATTAACCTAAAGTGCTTTTATGTAGGCAAGAAAATGATTATACCGTCTTTGACTAAACAAGTTTTAATTTATATCTTTAAGCTTTGGTGTGAATGGGGCATAGGCCGATCAGCTGGGTGAAAACTTTCGAAAATAAAATCGATAAAACAGTTCAATTCAGCTTTATCTGCTAAGCAGTCTTTCCTTTAACTTTTTTTATGAGAAAAAAAAAAAGAAGACAAAGAAACCTTACTTTAAACAAGGGTCTTTTACAAATGCATAGGATAGCTGTATAGAAAGTTGGCAGTTTATACAACTGACTTTATACCATTTGCGTCATTAACAAATATAGGCGAAAGTTAAATGTTTATTTAACAATTACTCATGCGTCAGCGTGAGTTTGTCAAGATATCAGGCAAGCGGGAAATTTGGGGGCGTGAGAGTTGCTCTAGTCGAAGACGGAATGGTAAGGTTGTATCGTTATATCAAGTTAAGCACTAGTTAACAGAATTGACTTTACACCGTCTGCGCTAATAACAGAGGCAGAAGTCAGTGAAAGTTAGCTTAGGAAGGAAGTGAAAGTTAACTCAGGGAAAAATAATTTTTCAAATGTTTTTAGTAAATTAGCTACGAACAGGTGTGCCACCATAACTGATGTTAATGACTATGCAGATCATACCTATTCGTGGCGCTTTTCTGGAAACGAGTATTCCTCAATTGGTCCGATGGCGTTTACGCAAATGCAAAAGTTTTGAAGATATAGACAATGTGGCACTAGTGTGAAAGTCTCTAATGTCTCTTAATTCGGTTTATTCATATTTTGTTGGGAAAGAATCGATCATTGATATTTTATGGGTGTTATTAATAAAATAATCATTCCACTCCCGCTTTCTGGATATGGAATTATTTTAGGGCCAAAGAGGCACGTTGCTTCATCCTCTTATAATTACCTCTTTATCTTTGTTGAAGTAGGCAAAAATATTTCCTAACAGTGAATACTAATCAAAGACCTCTTTCTTGCTGCAGGCTAAAACCATCTCTTTGATTCTTTCAGGTCCCAGTGGTTCTCATTTGATCCATCTGGAACTTTTTTTTTTAAATTGCACATAAATTGATAATACTCCTCAAAGGTTCCATTGAAAGTCGGCGTCGGCGTAGATGTGCACCAGCATAAAAGTTGGTAGCCAGTCAGATCATACTTATTCGTGACGCTTTTCTAGAATGAGTATTCATCAATTGGTTTGTTAGCCTGGGACCAGGCTCCGCTCGCAGATTTTTCTCTTTCGCCCTTTCCCCACTGCGGAGCCTGGTCGCAGGCTATTGGTCCGTTGGCGTTGAAACAAATGAAAAAGTTTCATTGATATAGACATGTGGCACTAGTGTAAAAGTCTCTAATATCTCTTTCGGTTTATTTAAAAAAAAACATTTTCGGAAAGGATCGATCAATGATATTTTATGGCCGTTTTTAATAAAACAATTATTCTACCCGCACTTGCTGAATATGAGATGTTTATGGCTAGCGCGGCACATAGGCCCGTATTCAACGCGAGCAGTTTTGGAATAATTGTTTATCATTGTGCGTAGCGTACAGTTAAATACAACATCGAATGGATTTCTATTGAAAGCATCATGATTGTCACTCCCTTTTTCAATATTTGTACCTTCTTTATTTCAGATACCATCTGAGTGAGTTTAAAGGTGATATGTCATGAGAATACTGCTGTTGGGTCTGTGCTTATTAATGAAATAAGTGATATAGAAAATAACCTGACATAGCCCAGTTAGCACCAAAGAGGAGCAGGTGGGCCCTCTGATAGAATAGTATACAATGGAACCTCGATATAACGAGCCTCTCTGTAACGAAGCCCTCGTTATAACGAACGACTTTCTTCACACCCTAATAGTAAAATATACCAAAAAAAACAACAACGACAAAAAAAATGGATGTACCGAAGCCTCGGTGTAGCCAACAAACTTTGCCAGTCTCTTGGCCTGTCTATATTTTATCGACGACCCAGCCGGAAAATAACGTATATCTATGATGACCTTATTATTCGCATACTGATTCTAAGTTCTACAAGAACTGAGTGAATGCCAAATTTATGCACAGGGTCCAGAGGAGATGTGTTTGTCGTTAGAACATCAAAAGCAGTCGAAAACCTCTGAAAAAATGAGTTATTTTGATCGCGTTACAGTTTCGTTACACATTCTATAGACCGCAAACCAAGAGACTGAGGGCTCGCAAGATCAGCTTACAGTATAAAATACAGAAAGGGAGGAAATAAATTTGGGGCCGATTTTCGAATCCCTGAAACTCAAAAGGAATTGAATGAAATCGCCTGGTTTTTCTAACCTGATCTAGAATTCTTATGTATTTACCAAATACTGTAGGAAAACGGTATAAAAAAGCGTTCAAATTCATTTTCGGCGATCGAAATTTACGGCTTCGAGATAGCTCTTTCGTTCGCTGTGCATCGCAACAGATGGTGACGGAAATGACGTAGTAAAGTAAATGTGCTCAAGATCGGAGCAATAAAAGGGGATGGAAAGCCTACGCGACTTTTACCTCATGCCAAAATGCTGCACGTTCCAATAAAGTTTTTTTCCTCTGCTGGGTAGATCATGCTCCGGAAGGTTCTACATAGTCATTTTCACTGAGCAAATGTGACTTGCATGTTTCACACTGAGAGGTCATGACACACATATCGATTTACTGTGGTCATTGTTTCTGGTCGGCAGGATTTCCCCTCTGATGTAAGCGCATTTTCTTTGACCTCTTTCGAAGCGTGAAGCTTTTTATTACGGCTGAATAAGGGTTCCAATTTTCTCCAAAGTGCCTTCTGGATCTAAATAACTAAGCGATTTTCTTTAGTCCGTGAAGGTATTGTTTTTCTGCAATGCCGTATCAGGCTGGGCCCAGCTTGTTAGTTTTGTTTGGAGAATGTTAAATTATTACGGGTAGTGAGTCACAGGTCGTGTGTAATCTTGCAGTAAAACGTGACACTGAGTAGAGCGGACGTACAAGGCAACTGTAATATCATCACGACTGCGCCATTCTTCGGTGGTCCCAACAGTGTTACCTCTTGCGTCTTTGGCTGTGCGTTTTGCGACTACTGGGAAGCCTTTGCACAAGCGAAACCTGCTTAAGACATCGAAGACTGTTGACATGTACAACAAATGTCCAGTCTTGAAATATCTTCACTTCAATTAAAACTCTGTTGCCTTCGCATAGATCTCTGAGATCTCTAAAACTCCCTCCGCAGCTGATGTTTTGATTCTCGAGTTGCTACTGCGTTTCCGGTCTCATTCACTTCCATCACCGAGTGATGCGGTTCACATCTAACGAAGTCACGTGGTACAAGTTTCCTCCCTTGTCCGTTTTTTTACTCGGCACTTCGTGCCTCGGTCGCCCTTCGGGCGACAGCCTTCGGGAGATGTTCCGTGCGCCAGCGAGGATATGGCTTGCGGTTATTGGTTTTCAAAATGGCGAACAACAGAGTCGATCTGGTCAGATAAAAAGCGAAGAAATCGTTTACAGTGGATTCATTAAGATCCCATTGGGCTAATTAATCGTGCTAAGCGACAGGTATAGAATTTTTCAAGCTGAGACTTTAAATAAGTAATTCATTTATTCTCACGAAACTCCTCTGGACCCTGTGATTTATGCAACACTTCAAAGATTTAGCAAACAAAATGCCATTTGTAGTTGATTCAACTTTGCTCTAGTAATCATGACTTGTGTGTGTATGTTTTATCCCGGCAAATTTGACCTCTTTGATCACGGTATTTTATTTGTCTTCTCTGTTATTGGTAATATTCCATTGTTTGCTCAATAATTGTGTTTAAGCAAGAGACTATAAAGGGGACAGAGAGGGCATCCCCCATATACACCCTACTCCATAGGTAATTCGTCTCGAGTTATTTTTAGAATCGGGATAAAGTTACCTCGCGCGAGGCGTGGATGTTTCGTGGAGGTTTCGCATGACCAAACGCCGTGCAAAACATGTCGCGCGAGAGGCAATGAAAGCGTAAAAAGATCGAGCGCATTCCTGAATATTGAAGCGAAACGAGTCGGCGCTCACCTGGGAAAAAGGAATCGCTGGACTCTTTGACAACCCGTGAAATCAGTTTAACTCGAAGTTGTCGTAACCTCAGTGCTTTAATAAAATGAGAAATTTCGCCGGTCTATTGAAACCGGTCGTTTGTTTAAGATCCAACGACGCGGACGACAACTAGAACGTCAAAAAAACAATAGGTTTAATTAGCAAAACAACAACTTCGCACGTGCAACACACTTTTTTGTTCATTTCTTTCCCGTCTTTGCACGACTACGACGCGAAAATGCCTAATTTCGCGTTTTATGGAGAACGTAAATAAACAGCGACGAAATTTTATTTCTCTTTCTGAGCTTGAATATGGTCCCTTGAAATTCAGCTTTAGGAGGGTTCGCCTACAATTGACAAAGTAAGTGGGTAGGAATAATCGCTATAAAGACTGAAAAAAATAAACATCAAACCAGAAATTGCTCTCTTCAAACTGTAAATTATAAATGATCCTGAGAGAATTTTCAGTGTGTTAAGGATTTCCCTGCTCTACTGTTAGCTCTATACAAGAGAGGAAGGGCGATTCTTTTTTAATTTCGGTTTCGCTGACACAGCTTTCGCAGAAATCTCGCTGTAGTCGTTTTCGTCGACAAAAGGAATAGCAAAATCGCTCTCCGCGTCTTCCCCCATTTTGTTCTGCGTCATTTCGTGAAGGACGCGTGGCTCTCAGCGTGGGTCATCCACGCGGAACACATTCGCGCTATATATGTGATTGGCTGTTGTCTAATCCCCCTTGAGATCTGTGATGTTAAGTAATGATCCAGGTAAGAAGGAAAGCAATTTCTATTGTTGTGGCGCAATACGCTTTCCTCACATAGAAATGTTTTCATTTTTACGCAGAGAAAGCATAAATCTACAAAAAGGCTGTTTACGAAAGAAAATTTATTTAAACTCCACTTTTAAAGGGTGTATTTTTGTGTTAAAACATTTCGACCAATCACAAGAGTTGCAAACAATGGCCAAGAAATGTTCACAATTTTACATGATCCGCACATACAATTTCTGTGTTACTTAGACTCAGACGAGATTTTGTTTTAAGGAAGTTGGATAGAAAAAAAGGGATTAATATACATGCTGCATTGCGAAGATTTCGTAAAATTTGATGTTTAAACCAATCAGAACCTTAGTAGACACAATAGTAAAGTTAGCACCTTTTTTGCATTCCGACGTGTTCACTGCGTTTTGGTCCTTTCCGTCTTATCGGGACCATTACTTAAAAATAACTCGAGACGAATCACCTATGGAATAGGGTGCATATGGGGGATGCCGTCTCTGTCCCCTTTATAGTCTCTTGGTTAAAGTTGTTGTTCCACCAACTGCTAAGATCCGACTGAATCGACAATTTGTTAAGCTAAACAGGAATTTAGTTATCTAACCGAAAAAGAGCGAAGCCGTGCTTTTGAGATTAGCTGCAACAGCTAATGGTGTTCCGTTACCCAAATTTCATGTGAATTGCGATAGGGTCGACGAGTTTTAAGAGTTCTAAAAGGAGTTGATTGCAAGGATGAATTCATCTGTGAATGACTGTATTAATTGAAATGAAGTGGTAGCAGAAGCATAATGTAAGAGCTGGCACAAGAATGCGGTATAAACAGTGTAGACCTTACCTTTGGTGATCTCAAATAATGTAAACCGAACGTAAATTAGTAAATAAATAAATGCGAATATATAGGAATTGTCTAAGGCCCCGTCCACACGAAGACGATTGTAAACGCAAACGCTAGTAAACGCAAACTTTTTATGCGTTTAGGCCTTCCGTCCACACGAAGACGATGAAAACGCTCACCGTAAACGCATAAATTCGAAAACGCTCTCCAAAGTGGATAAATTTAAAAACGCCGTTTATGCGTCTTCGTGTGGACGGCCGTAAACGTATATTTTCGTAAACGCTGTGAAAACGCTGACGTCAGATGTCAGCGCTAGTCTCTTTTATCTTTTATATGACCTTAGTGATCTCTTCTTTCTTGTGTGGGTATCCTTTTTTAATTTCTGAAGACTCTTCTTGAGATGATGGCTAGTGTTCCCGATATAATTCAAGAATGTCAGTTTACTTTGACTGGCACGACTCCCAGTCGATATTTTTCGCCGCTTTCGACACCTTGTAGTCACTTGTAACTTCTAAAAGCAGCTGTACTTCACCGTCAGTTTAAACAAAGTTGTCTGCCTTAGTTTTATCACTTTTTTCTTTCGGTTTCTTGCCAGCAGACTCCGACATTTTTCTTCTCTCTCGACCACAACAAACGCACGTGGTGGCTTGAGAACATGGACGCTAACACTTGATAACAAGGCGCTGAAGCAAAGATTGCAGGCTCAAATCGATAGCGCATGCGCGTTCGGTCTATGACATCGTTTTATGCGTTTACGAGCGTTTTCGTGTGGACGGGTTAAAACGCTACGTAAACGATGATCGTTTTCGTGTGGACGGAGATAAAAATATGCGTTTACTATCGTTTGCGTTTACTATCGTCTTCGTGTGGACCTGGCCTAACTATGAAACGCCAATTTGCAAAGGTCGAAAAACAGACAATGTAGTTCATGAATATAATTTTTCTCTTTTTTTTTTTTAGAATTCATTTTTTTAAAATTGTTTTTTGCATTTATTATATTGACAATATTCCTCAAAGGTTTCATCAAAAGTGGGCGTCATAAGACACCAAAGTGTTGTTTGACGTTTTCTCCCATCAATCTCGAGGAAATGAAAGTCTTGTCATTTTCACGCACGGTTAATCAGTTAATTATGAGAGTTTACAAGCCTAAAGTTGAATACAAATTAGCTCTACATGCAGGAAAAACCTCAAGGGAGCAACCTTGACGTATTATTATAAAACAAATAACTTAACTCAGAAAGCACCCCTTTAATGTAACACCTGAATTAACACAAGCGGCTATCTCTCAAAAACATGACAAAGAAAGTCTCACTCCTCCACCACCCTTAAATCCTGCTTTCCTGACCCCTCCTCCCACAGTAGAAACCCCATCACAACAAGGCCCGAAGCGCAAAAGGCGTCGGATTCAATTTCTAAATTATTTGGATGATGGCAAACAGCTGAAGAAACGTCGGCATAAGAAATTCAAACCTTACAAGTACTCCATGAACGAAGATGAAGATTAATTAATTTCCATTCCTATGTATTTGACTCTTTTTGTCATTGTTTTTTAATAAAGTTGTTTAAAACGGTATCTCTCTTGTCTTTTTATTGCTAGCAATTATGAGTCGCGTGTTTTCATTGATCCTTGTTAAGTTATTTGTTTTATAATAATACGTCAAGGTTGCTCCCTTGAGGTTTTTCCTGCATGTAGAGCTAATTTGTATTCAACTTTGGGCTTGTAAACTCGCATTATTAACTGATTAACCGTGCGTGAAAATGACAAGACTTTCATTTCCTCGAGATTATTGATGGGAGAAAACGTCAGAAAAACTTAGAGAGTGTTCAGCTCCAATTTGTGTATGTTTTGTTTATATATATATCCGAGTTTTAGTGCTAAATAAGAAGACGTAAACTAAATTGAAATAAAGACTTTTCAACTCCCTTTGTGTTTATGTATATCTGAGTTTTAGCGCTAAATAAGATATAGGAAGCCGTTTCTCGCGTTGCTAGGTGATCAATTCTCTTATTCCTATTTTTCTTTTAATAGACGGTCCGAAAACCGGGCTCAAGTTACTTACTGGGCAAGTCTAGGCAAGCCTACTGTTCCTATTGAAGTAGAGTGACGCTAATTAGTAAACCTATACCGAATTAGTATGCAGGAAGACACTGACTAGGTACTTAAATTAATATGGAGGAACCCATTTTTTCCCTAGGTTATCACAATAGATGACGTCATTGACTCGACCGTTATGCATATTAATAAAGGGAACCCACTTTTTGCGAGGGAACCCACCAACGAGGCTTATCTTTTAACATAGTATACTACTCACCAAAGCAACGTTTATGTCGCAATATTAAACTCAGGGACAGTTGAGTGGTATCTTTGTCAGTAACTTTAGTTTTAAAACTAACACGCACACACAAAAACAAAATTGCCGCCGATAACGAGGTCCTCTGTAGAAGGAGTAGATGACTTGTCTAGGTGCCCCATGGTGCCCTAGTCAAACTAACTAAACATGTTTAATTAAACCATGTTTTAAAAATGAAAACGGACTCGAAAAACAGGAACACACAGGTTTTTTTACACAGGATGCGTTTACAAAATTCAACGCGTTTTTGTAATTTGCAATAAAGGTGTCATCAACATAAGGTGCTCTTATGAAGGAAAGAAATTATGCCGTGTTTGGCTAAACTGCCTTTAAACATAGACCGATCAATATAGAGAACTTTGAAAATAAAATCGATAAAACAAAGCAATTAATGGTCTATAAAGTTTAGCTTTATCTGGTAAGCTGTCTTTCCCTTAACTTTTTTTTTTTGAAAAACAAAGGTTGGTTTTCATTTGGGGTCTTAAAAAATGTATTTCTTTTTAATTTGGTGGACCTCACTTTGAACAAGCGTCTTTTACAAATGCATAGGATAGGAGGTAATTAGCGCGTTTTCAAACGGGAAGACGAAGTTGTATCGTTATAGAAAGTTGGCAGTCAATACAAATTTGACTTTATACCATTTGCGTCAGCGACAAACAGAGGCGAAAGTTTAATGTTTACTTTTAACATAATTAGTTCATTCGTCAGCGTGCGTATGTCAAGATATCAAACAAACGGGAAGTTTGGAGCGTGAGAGTTGCTCTAGTCGCAGATGGAAGGCAAAGTTGTATCGTTATATCAAGTTAAGCACTCGTTAATATACAGAATTGACTTTACACCGTCTGCGCCAATAATAGAGGCAAAAGTCGGTGAAAGATAGCTTAGGGAGAAAGTGGAAATTAGCTCAGGGAAAAATAATTTTTAAATATTTACGAACAGGTGTGCCACCATTAATGTCAATGGTAATGCAGGTCATAGTTACCCCTTGCGTTTTTAATTTATAGAAATGAATATTCGTCAATTGGTCCGTTGGCGTTGACGCAAATGCTAAAGTTTAATCGATATAGACATGCCGCGAGTGTGAAAGTCTGTAAAGTCTCTCTCCGATTGTTTTATTCATATTTATTATTCTTATTTTATTCGGAAAGAATCAATTATTGATATTCTATGGCATCATTCCACCCCCGCTTACGGGCGTATGAGATATAATATGGCCAACGAGGTACGTTAGGCCTGCACGTATCCGGCCAACGCGAGTTCTCGTGGAATAACTGTCGATTATTGTGTGTTCAGTTCAATGCAACATCAAATGAATTTTTCTATCAATTGATAGCATCATTATTGTCACGGCTTCCTTCTGCAATAATATCTGTACCTTCTTTATTTTAGGTACCAGCTTAGAGAGTTTAAGTGGGCTATGTCAGGAGGATGTTGCTATACTAGGTAAAAAAAAAAAAAAGTGATATTGCCCCTTTAAAACCAGTACTGAGAGGGCACGCTACAGGAGTCCTCTAACAGAACAATCGTAGGCGAAGTAGTTGAAAATGAATAAGACGAGACCGAAGATGTTTATCATTGTATTGAACCATTTTATCGATAAGAAACAAAAATAATCTATAATATTTCAGCACTATGAAGGGGAGGGGGGGAGGCAGGGGGAGGCAGGGAGGGTCAAAGTTATTTAATATTTAATGAGAGCTTATTTAGCATTTTTAATATGGGACCATTAATTGACTTTAGATTGACAATTCAATCGGAGAAACTATAATAATTTGTCTCAGTTTGCTGTCATCTTCTTACAATTAAAATATAATGGCACCTAAATGTTGTCAATGGTAGAATTATATATAGATCAAAATGAAAGAACAGACGATGTTTTTGTAAGTAAGAGACTCAAGAGAACAGACCTGTCGAAGAATCAGTAAGCATGGACATAACAGCAAATGGAAGCTGCTTCAGTTTGATAAATCCAGAAACACTAAAAATTGGGCAAACGGTTGCTCTGAGCCTGATACTTGTTGTTTCGTTGGTTGGGAATTCTCTCATCGTATTAATTGTTTACAAAACACCAACTTTGAGAAAACCGATAAATATGTTGATCGCAAATATGGCCATGTCTGACCTGCTCTATCCAATATTCTTTGTTCCTGCTCGTCTGGCAGAATGGCACGCTGGCTCGTGGCTTATTGGTGGTACCCTTGGTCAGGCCTTGTGCAAGATACACATTTTTCTTGTTGATGTTTCCTCGTTAGTGTCGATTCAGAGCCTTGTTCTGATAACAGTGGATCGATTTGTAGCTGTTGTAGTTCCACTCCGTTCCCCTCTCGTAAGTAGAAAGCGGTGTCTATTCTTCATTGTCGCTACGTGGATCGTCGCAATGGCCTTTCATTCGCCATATCTTGTTGCTTATAAACTTGGTAAATACCCAGAACGACTGATGTGCAAAGGTCTGTGGCAGGAAGCCTTCGGAGGAAACATATATCCAAATTACATCTTAGCAGGTGCTATCGTGTTTTTCTACATTCCCTTTGTCCTCTTGGTGATACTGTACTCCGACATCCTGATCAAGCTTAAAAACCAAGTCCATCCAGGTGAGCAGTCAGCCAACGCTGAGCAACATAGGACAAGAAGAAACAGAAACGTGCTTAAGATGGCTATTACTATCGTGGTAGTGTTTTTCATTTGCTGGATACCCTTAATCAGCAACGCGATAATAGACAATTTCAGTGCACCAGACAGTCTCATTTTTTCTTCTTGTAGTTTTCATATATACCGTACTGTCACCTTCTTTATGGCTTTCGCAAACTGTGCTATTAACCCGATTATCTGCCTCACTCTTAACAGTAACTATCGCCAAGCTTTTAAGAGACTTGTGAGTTGCTGTGCCGCCCGGATGCAGTGGAATATTAATGTTTGAAGACTGAAAGCCTGGTCTGAAGGGATTCATTAAAAAAAAGAAGACCAATAACTACTAACTGTTATGTAAAATAACAGCGAAATCACGAAAGAAATGCATGTGAATCATTTTTTCGGCTGCAACGTAATCTGGAGCACGCCCTAACCCTAACTCTAGGAAGGGTGGAAAATGTTATTGTATGAACGCATTTGCAACGTATAATTTTGCCGAAAAACGCCGATCGAAGCCAGTAGAGCCGTTTTATTATTCTGTTCACTGAAACAGCTTCTGGATGGTTTGCTGCAGAACCGGCAAGACATCTAAAGAAAACGGTATTATATTAGCAGATCGACAAGGGAACCTTGAAACCTAAGTAAAAGAGCGCAGGTAGACAGATTTTTACCACGGGACTTAAGCAGAGGTGAAAGAAGAGGCCAGTTAGCCACGGTCGTCCTACATTGTAAAGACAACTGATGTGTCTAAACTAAAGTGCCATAGAGTATACTCAGCTGAACCGTTTAGAAAAAAAATCGACAGTTGCCTGTGGAAGTTAGTCGATAACAACAAAGGAATTCTTTCAACACAGAGAGGCATACTAAAGCGTTCAGCCTACCCTTAGTTGTCATCACTAGAATCACCCCGAGCACCTGCCCAGTCACGTGCACCGGTGCCATGTTACAAATATGGCGTGAACATTTTTCTTTCTTTTTGCGAATGATAACTAGGGGATGTTGGAAGAATGGACAGCGTGACTGTCACACTGTGAAAGTAAACTTTGTTCCTTTTGATCTAGTTGTTTAGTGATAAGTTGTATTATGCTCCTATTAATGTTAATCCCGTGGGGGGTGGGGGGGGGGGAGTGCGGGCAAGGGGCGGGGATTTGATGCCTGAGACTATTCCCCCTGTCGGACTTTTGATCGTGCGAAGCGACCCCGAGGTCGGGACATTTGACTTTGACCGACAGAAGCCTGGTATCAATTCAGAAGCGGTTACCAGGTCCGTCCCTCAAAGCTTTCTGAAGGTCACGCTGTTGGAGAAAGGTGTGAAGTTTTCATATGTTTTAATCGCCATAATCCGATACTTTAAACTATCATCTAAACAGATAATGTCTATTTTGAGAAAGTTTTTATCTTCAAGTTCCCATCTGATTGTAAAACTCGATTGAAATCGAATTCCACCATGAAAGTCAGAGGATTTTTTACGGGTCACTGATCCGACCTGCTCCGACATGTTGAGCAGATGTTATAAAGCATTTTACGTTTTATTAATATTATAATAGCACGGTCAATCTTCTGGAGTGATTTTGTTGTTCAAAATAAGAGATGCTAGTGGAGAGAGAAAATACTTAATTACAGCGAGTAACTTAACGGAGCTTACGTTAACCTTAAATAAAAGTAGTAAGAACGTACTTTTGAAATGTTCTTTTATTCGTTTTATATAGTATTATACTATTGTTTGTTTAGATTTTTCCCCTTGGGGTGGGGGCTATTT